GGTTTCACATGTTCTGAAGCGCTACCGGAAGTCCAGTTATTAAAATTTCATTCGCTAAAAATTTTACTGTTGCATGTTTTGTACGAAATAGTTAACTGGCGCTATGCATTATGACATACTGGTACGAACGCCAAAGTAATGCCTTAAAAGATTAATTTTTTAAATTTTATCATATTCGGTGAAACTTTCCTTCCTAAAAAATTTCCTTACTCCTTTTGACATTGGCCAGGACAATGGCGAACAGCAGGAAAGATACACAAGCAGGAAGCAACGGACATATGGAAGCTACCGAGAAATGAGGCGTCGCGCAATATTGAGCAGCATGTCTATTCCGTACACCGTAAAAATGATTTGTCGCAAAAATACAACCTTTATTGCGATTTCTTCCCTGTCTAGGCGTGCATACCTGACCGTTACTTACATCCCGAATATCCTATAGTCACACAAAAGGACTGGACAGTACATTTTGTCTTATACTCATGGTCCCATTGCATATACTTTTTTTTTACTTCTTTACTTACAGCGTTTAGCCTACCGGCATTAAAACCCAAAACCTCCGATGCCTAATTTAATTTAAATTCAAGTTAATTTAAAATTTTTCAGAAATTTTTTCAAAAGAAAGAAATGGAGTAAAAGAGAAAGCATGGAGAGACTAAACTAAAAAAAATTTGTCCTGTTCTTTTTGCGACTGTACATATCTTAATCTCTACATCACAATAAGGTACATTGCAACGGAACATTCTGCCACAACAACCATCATCGGAGACACGAAATCGAGGACAATTAACAGCATCATTGACGATCGTGCTGAGATCGACCGACAAGCAGGAACGACTAACGTGCATTAACAGTGAACAAGTTGTTCGGGCGCGGTACACTCCACTCTTTATTTGATTTATTCAGGAAAATAACATAAGAACAGGTTAAAGAAATCACTTTCAAATTATTTATTGGCTGCTTCATCTGGTACACTTTCGCAGTTTGCCCGATAGTGGTGGCAATTCTGTCGATGCCTGTCACAGCAGTACGGGCAACCATTCCCCTTGAACCGATGGCTAGGTGGTAGTAGTCGGTCTGCCATCCGGCACTAGTTAGCTGTTCTATCAGAGGGGCGTAACGGCACCGTTTTCTGGACTCCGCATTGGCAAATCCGTGCACGGTTTCAAAGGGAATGGTAACCTCCGCTAAAATAATACGCTTCTCTCCGCGGTTAACACAGCATAGATCAGGGCACAGAGAGGTAGGAAGCACATCAAGAGTTATAGTGTTATTGTGACTTTCGTAATTCTCAGAATTTAGGTCAGACAAAATTTCCATTTATTTTTATCAGACCACACCGGTCAAGAAACAAAAGGTAGCTTGAACAATGCTATTATGGCGCCAGGTGTGCCGGTAGCTGTTAAGAGACACCGAACAACTATTAAGGATGTGACAGAGGGATCCTTTATCGGCCCCACACAAATCACAGTTAGCCGAGACAATTTTTCCCCATTTTAGTAAATTGGTAAAAGAAGGAGAGATATTGAGAGCCGATTCGATCATAAATGTCACCACATTCTCAGACAGATCATACAGCACTGACTTCCATGGCTCATCTACAATCTTGGCTTTAACAATCTCTTGCCACGCTCCCTGCTGTATCAAGCCCTCGATCCGATTTTCTCTCGACGCCGAAACATGCTGCTTTACTTTTCTATTAACAAGCTTTCTAATTGCTGACCGGTTTGCCTTGCCTGCCGCTTTCGATAGAAGTTTGCACAATGTCCACAATAACATCATTATTACGCCGACATTAACTCTTAATGGCCTGACATATTTTAACCGTTAACGCCTGACTGCATCAAACTGATTCAAGTGTTAGCCATTGGTCTGTTTGGAATAACTGGCTAATGTAAGTGAGAATAGATCCAGAAGGGGCACAGAGAGAGAACTGGACAACTTCGCATTCAGCACACATTGCATTACACTAACCTACCTATGCAGCCTGTATCTGTTTAGAGCTTAAATGCTCTCTCTTGCGCTTACCTTTCTGTACGACAAAAGGAATTTCATTTTCTGATGCCGGCCTACATCTTCATCCGGCTAAGCGACACCGTCGCGGATGAGAATTTTTTTCACGGTTGTTTGCAAACATAGCACTTTTAAAACTTGCCCATAAGAAGCGTCGATAGTTTGTACAACAGCCAGGATTTATCTGTTCTACAAATGCTGAGCGAGTTCTTTGTAGTGAAAGTTTGTCTTACTTCCGGCAAAACTTGAATCATTCTGGTTCATGCGTTTTTCTCTGAAACCTTTGTTGATTAAATTTTGCAAAAATTATCAGTAGTATGCTACGCATACCTACATAGCATACCAGGGAAGAAAAATACAAAATTTCAGTTCGGATGGCGTGTGCGTTTTGTTTTCAATCGCGATGAATCAGTTTGATGATGTCAGGCCATTAAGGGTTAAGTTATCACTCGCAATCTGTGCCACAACAGCATCATTAGAGCACAACGCGTCCGTTGCAAAGGCAGCGAGTGATTGCGCGTACACTGATTTCAGAGACTTAATATTCATCCCACCCGGTACATACAAGAAATCACAGTTAGCGGATACATTAATATTTAGCCATTTTTTTATGTATTTATTAACAAGCGCTTCAAGTGAGTTAACGACTGCTGGAGACAAGTCATGCATTGTTAACACAAATCTCATACGAGCTACAAAGTATTCATCATAAATTTTCGTTTTATACACGGCACGTAATTTCAGATGACCTACTCGCTGCATTAAAGATTCCAGACTCGTATATACTAAATTTCCACTGTTAACAGACTGATTTTTATTAAATACGTGTACACCAAGAAATTTCTTCGGCTCACTCGATATATCCGGAATTTTTACGCCATTAATTTCAAACGCCGCTTTTCTCATGAAATACCTCTCGAAAGAGAAAAACAACGGCACTTGTCGGCATTCAGAAAAAAGCCAATAGAATTCATACACCCATTCACTTCACGGATTAATCGGCCCATGCTGGCTTTATTGTTGCAGATAAGCGTTAAATCGTCTGCAAAAGCCATATCGACAATTTTCCCCTGTGGGAGTGCGTCAAAAGCTATTCCGAATTTTCAGTTTTCTTCGAGATACTCAAGGATACAGTTAAAAATAATAAGAAACAACGCATAACTCATGGTGTCACCCTGAAATAAGCCTACGTTAAACGGGATAGGTTTAGAAAATCCATTATTATGATAAATTTTTATAGGAAGTCCCGTATAGTAATTATCAATATAAGATATTAAATACTGAGGAAGATCATAGCGACGCAGTGCAGGCAGAATCACTTCCTTCCTGACAGACCCATGCGCATTAGCAACACAGCCAGGTTATATGCATCGCACGTCTTTTGTCCCGCTGTTGATCTTTTAATTTCAGCAGCTTCAGCGAATGTTCCCCACAACCATTAGTCGCTTCAATAAATCCCTACTGTACATCGGTATTAATTATATTATTTTTAATGCAGTACGACATTAACAGTTTTGAAATAACAGAATGAAATACTTTTGCAATGCAGCTTGTCAAAGTAATTGGACGATAATTAGCCGGCATAGAGACGTCGCCTTTTTTATATAAAAGTACAGTTTTGCCCACTTTTCACGAAGAGCATGCGGTACCGGTTGACAATAGCCTATTGAACATGTTGGCTAGAAACATGTGGACAGCCGGATACGGTTTCAGAAACGAATAATTAATGCCATCTAACCCGGATCCTGCAGACGCATCCTTCCGTGACAAAATATTCTTAATATGGGAAGGCAAAATAGGCGAATTATCGAACGCAATATTGAAAGAATTATTTTTTAGTTGATTAATCCAGGAAAAGTCAAGAGGAGAAAGATTTTTCGGATCACAAATATTTGAAATGGCAGAAGCAGACGATTTTAACTTTGCATCTATAAAATTCCACTGCCGCTTGGTAAACCACGAATCCTTTTCAGCATGTTCTGCGTTCGAGCGAAGCTGTGAAATTTTTTCAGAAAGAGTTTTCCTGATTGCTTTAAGGTATTTTAGTCGCTCCGCATACGACAGCAAAAACTCCCTGTTCAAAACTTTCATCCTGCGCTTAATCCATTTAAGTTTATTTATTTCGGTACAAACTGCCTCTCTTTCCCTTAACAACGCTGACGGCACTGCAAATTTAAAATTTTTACTGAAAAATTTACCCTGCGACTGCTGACACTGTAAAACAGATAACGCATATTCAGCTACGCCCCATGAAAATAATTCAAGACACTCGTGTGGAGCCTTATACTAAGATCACAAGCCGTAGTAAGCTGACTGCAGAAATCACCAAGGAAAGAATGAAAACGTACCGTTGCGGACTGATGTAATCTACACCACTTTGGAGGGAGGATTTTCATGCGAGAAATATTAGAAGAAATTATAGTATTCAAGTCAACATTAACAGTACCATATACCACGTTATGCACATACTGCTTCAGTCGTTCTTCTTGCCGGATTTGAGGATTCGACGTTGAGTTGATATGATACATGATGGTCCGATGTTGTCGTTGGTGACAAAATAAAGGTTCCGCAGTTTGGTGATGGAATGCGGCAGCTTTCACAAGGAAAGCACCAGCTGAATTACACTTCCGCTTGAAAGATGGACATTTACAAGCAAACTTGACCAGCCACCTCAAGGAAGCAATCGCAAGTGATCAGCAATCGCAAGGGAGTATTCCTGCTTGGCGGTAATGAGCTCAAGGTGTCGCGTTTGTTTTTGCTGACTTTTTTTATCAGGTCTGGTAAAGAACAGGACCAACAGATATAAACTCGTAAATGAATGGAATATTTCATCACTGATAAGCTATATTTATTCTGCATGTTTTCGAGCATAATGCAGGAAGAATAAAGGTAAATACGTAAACATCAACACAACCACTTCCGGGTAGCTTTTGCAGCGCGATCGCAAAGCTCGCAACGTGACGCCTCGTATCTGCTGAATTTGTGTAAAAATTGCCTTTGAATAAAGTCAAAATTTTGATGTTTTCTCTCATAATTTCCCAACTGGGAAAGGCTGTTTTGTATGTGTTGAATCAGCTGTGATAGTAGCATCTTATAGAAGATTCAGCGTCTGTTTTCCCGTCATTACGCGGCGCAAGCGGAGGACAACACGGCCAAGGAGTGCGGAGTGCCATCCAAGAGCCAACAGCAGCGTCTCCCCAAACCACAACTGCGCAAATACCTTGGCCACGGCCACCAAGAAACACGCCACCACCTGCTTCGCGGTGGCCGTTAGGACGTGTCTGAGCGTCCGTTTTCCCGTCATTACGCGGCGCAAGCGGTGGATAACACGGCTGAGGAGTGCGGAGTGTCATCCAAGAGCCAACAGCAGCGTCTCCCCAAACCACAACTGCGCAATACCCTGGCCACGGCCACCAAGAAACACTCCATCATCTGCTTCGCGGTGGCCATTACAGCGTGTCTGAGCTATCGCTACTTTATTGAGGAGCCGCGCAAGAAGAAATACGCAGAATCCTTGGGGTAAGGTGTGAATTTGTAGGTAATTTGTTGAATGATTTTTTTCAATGGAGTGGTTGTGATTAAAGACCTGTTCGCCACCGGAGTGAGCTATGTTGTATGTACTGAGAATTTGAATGTTGAGCAAGATTTCGTTTGTTGTCGCTGGCATCGTTTCTTTCCCCCTTTTACCCGTGAATTTTCCTTTACCGTGTAGCTTTTGTATTTACTACAATAATATTATTACGACAACACATTAACACGAAGGATGTAAGGGCGTAATTTTAAGGATGTAATCATGGGAGCAGGTACCAGTGATGGACGGTGGTGATAGGGAAAGTGCTTTCGGGTTTGTACAGCTTTCCTTATACTGTAAAATGCGATCAGCAGTTTATTTGCTTGGTTAGCCGTTAGCCGTTAGTATTTAACACGTTCTTGTCGAGACTCGAGAAGCAGGAAAACAGTGAAAACACCCACTTGTTATTCTCTCGACGATGATGACGCCGCTCTCTGTCTTTCATAATTATATGCACTATATAATGCAGTAATAATGGAGTGTTTTTCTGCATGTAGTGCATGGGCACTGGGCAGTTGTACACTTTTCAAGTTGTCCCGTGTTCACTAATAAAACGCTGGTTATGCGCTGCACCTGTCGGTTGCCTGCTGCACGCGTCCCGCGGCCAAACGCGCATTGTCATGCAGATTTTTCTTCTTGGGAATTACTGTCATAATTGCCGATCGTAAGATGAGGAATGCGTAAATGCTGCCTTTTTTTATTGCAGCATAGGCGTTGTTGAACAGTGTAGCAACGAGCGCGCTTGATTGTGCATATTTGTGTGTGGTGTAGCCGTAGTCTCGTAGAGTAGTGGTTGGTGCCTGGCCATCTTGATTGGACGAGCGAAGTGGATTTTCATGTTCCACTTCCGGTGGTTTTTATGGCGTTGATAAATGATCGCAATATTGGTCATCGAATCGCTTGCCCACGCATTTACATCGCCGAATGCGTGTATGTTACTTCATATGAAGGGGATTTTATTTTTTCATTATGATGTAACTCTTCGTGACGCCGTGAGCTCCAGATTAATTTTTTGGGATTGTTATTTTCCTTTATTTACATAAAAACAACGCTCCCAGTAAACAGCAGCTTCTATTTTGGAGCATTTCCACCTTTTTTATATTTTATTATTATCGTACACTTGTTATTGTCGTATATCTTCGTGCACTATTGAATGCAACTTTAAATTTTTTTCTTTTTGTCAGTCTGTAATGAAACGCTTAGAAGGTATTCCGTGTGATCTACTTCAAGAACTAAGTGTATAATTAATTTCATCCTGATTTTGTAGTTAAAGCTTAGGACAAACAAGACGCATAACCCCCACCCACAGCACTCCGATCGCATGCGGCGCAGTGCGCTGTACGACTTGGCTAAAATGTCCGGTTATCGTACAATTGCACTTGCCACATGCGTACGGATATCTGGGTATGGGGTTATGCGTCTTTTTTTGCACCGAGCGCGAAGCGCGAGGTGCTGCAATTAACTGATCGTCAAGTGATGCACGCTCCATAGCAGAGCATACATTTCCACAGCAGAGCCAAAAACCAAAAAAAGCGTACGTAACACTTTTCCAATTTCACAATCCAATACCATTTTCCAGTGGCATTGGCGAAGTTAACCAGAGAAGAATTGTTAATTATCTTTATCTTTAACAAAATGCTCCAACCAAACAGTTGGCTGGTGCAAAGAAGTTGGTAGCCGTCTCTGTAGCTCTCTGAATTTCAGTACGTACATGTAATATCGTACTTTCGTTTTTAATTTTTCCGCATACCTACTATGTGGAATTTTGACACAGATCACTCTGAGAAATCTGTGTTTAGTTTATGACGGATTTGTTCATAAAATGACAGCGGAATAAAATTAAGTATATATCTATTATTATATATCTGAATAAAAAGTTCGAAAAACATATCTGCTGTTTACAATTCACCTATTCAACTTTCAGTGTAAACATTTGTCGGTGAGTATCACTCCCGCTCGGTGCAATGATGTGGTTATCAACCACCACTAGTTAGTCATAAGCTGTAAGTTCACATCATCCACTTCAAAAAAACTAGTCGGTATGCTACTTGTGCTCAGCAATTTAGAATTGAATGATTTGAGAAATGAATACGTAATTGTTTTCCGGAAGTATCTGCAAAATGTCAGCGCGATAGACTATAGTGATACAACAGTTTGGTTTGGACTTTCTTGTTTAAGGATTTAAGGATAAGTTAGTGCCGGTTGAGGGATTCTGCGAAGAAAACGCGATGGGAAAATGTTGCGCTGCTGCATACATGCGTACTATGGATGAAGTTGATTGACTGATGTGATTGTGAATTGAGTGCGTACTCTACTGCTGCTCGCTACCGGTCTTACTTTGTCTAAGCAGATGTGTTGTGTTTAATTCTACTGGCAGTATAGCGTAACGTACGTACGCAATGTTTGCTTTCGCGTACCAGGGCTGATGCTTCCGGTCCTGCGCTGTGCCGCAGGTTGTTGCTCCTGGCAGCAGCCAGCATAAGTGCCGCCCATTTCCGCTGCGATGCTGCCGCTGCAGCGGCGCTGTCATGGTTATATGTGACGATGTAGGAAGGGAGCATAAGGTTGATCGAGGGCGTATAGTTCTTCCGAAAACTGCCACGCCAGGGAGGTGCGAAGTAATTGCCAAATAAACTACGAGGAGGAGCTACCTTGGCCCGATCAAAGGCGCACACACGACCATAATCCGATCACTGTGCCCGCGTGTGTGCACCGCGTCCAAACACCCAGGTTGGCAGTAAATTTAATCACTGTGCTTGCACATACGCAAGATGGCCAGCCACCTCACGAGGGCAACAACTTTATAACATCGCTATGGCCGCCATTTTTAACGCACAAAAAGTCTGCGTGAGACCACTGGTGCTAAACTAAACGAAAGTGCATAATTATTTCCTGAAATCCTGCACGAGCACAACCGTTCAAAGCAATAAATCTGCGCCAAAATAATGTTCACTTTTTATCCATTCTAAACGTTTTCTTGGTTGGCGTGTTCGTAATATCACTGAGGCCGCTCTTGGTCTTCTTGCTGCGCTTACTCTTGGCCTGCAGTTTTGCTTCTTCTCGCTTTTCGAGGGCCTCAATAACCTGACTATCCGTCGCAATGAGCCCTGCATCCGCGCGCAAGCGCGACTTCTTTAGTTTCCTTTGCTTAGGGGCATGTGCTTTCATCAAAGAAAGATGCCAGTCCGCAGCAACTTTCTCGGGCGCTACAGGAGCACTAAAACCTTCTGCTTCAGCAACGGCATATGCTATAATGCGCTCTATTTTGCCTTCGGTTAAAAGCGGAATTTTTCGAAGCGAACGACGCACAATTTCCAGTTCTGACACGTAGTCATTTGCTACCGAAACGGGCACGTCCAAAGGTGATGTCGCTGAAACTGGTTCCACATAAGCTTGACAAACGGCATCCGGGTTGAAAGGAAATATTCCAGCAGAACCAAATCCCGAAACTATGTTTTTCGACATATTAAAGTCGTTCCACTTTTTCACAATGTGACTGGCGAAGTTCCGTTTGTTCACCTAAGACGAAAGTATATGTTACTGATGTAAAGCTGAATGACGAAATTTAATAACCTGTGCCAGTCATGACAATAAGATATTGAAACTATCGAAAACAAGTAAAAATAGCAAACAACTTTCAAGTAACATAATGCACCTCTTCCTCGGGGGACAAAGTCATATGCCGCAGGTAATCCCGCCAGTATTTCTTGACAGGTCCGTACACTGCTACATCCATAGGTTGCAATTTTCCAGTCTGACCACAAGGAAATATTACGACAGTAATATCTTTTTCCGATTTAACACATTCGGATAGAAATTCGAGATTAAACATGTGCGAACTGTGTCCATCGAGAAAAATCACGTTCTGTAAAAAGAAATTATGGTTAACCATATTATTAAATTATAATTTACCTAAAATGGTTAAATAAAAATTCACTAATACGTGAGTAAAACAACGATAAGATTAAGCTAACATTTCGCTTAATCTACAATGTGAATGAATCGGGGAGCTTTTATTACGCACCTTTTCTGCTGTCATCCGAGGATCACCTCTTCCCTGACGTACGAAGCGAAGGTCGCATTATCCATTATTCCAGACGAATTGAAACCGATATGACACATATCGTTCGTCTCGTTGAAATGCGAAGCCAAAACGACTTTCCCGTCGAAAAGAATTAGCGGCCGCAAAATTTCACCGGCTGCATTGCCTCCCGCAAGAACGGTTATTAACTCACGGTCATTGCCATCATAATATGACAGTACATCTTTCACACCGCCTGGCGTATACCGTTGTCACTTTTTCCGCAACCTGAAAGGCTGACTCGTCAAAATTCCAGATGCCGCGTGGATCACTGAGCAGTCCCAAGTTGTTCAGCGCAAACAGTCGCTGTATCCATCCGTCCCTATTTTCTACTGTCCATTCCTTCGTTTTTTTTCTTGAAACGCCATGTGAAATGCGCCGAGATATATTAGGGTGCCGCTCAAGGAATTTCTTATGCCACTTCGCTGTGAATAATTTTGATTTCTCAGGCGTAACTGTAAAACTTAAAGTATTGAGTACACAAATTATACGCAAAAATAACTCAAATAAGTGCTGGCGATTTATTACAAATTGCGAATCACTGTATAAATGTATTACTGAATTACTGTATTACTAAAATAGTTTTTGACATAAATTTGCACTGCCGACCTTTAGATTTTGCCAAGAGTGGCACAATTCGTCGCAGTGCGCTCTTGTCCAGTGGTATGCCGTTTTCAGCACATTTCAACAGCAGCTTCTCAATATAGTTTTCTTCTTCATCAGTAAATTTCCGTTTATGAGCTCCTTTTTTCCTCTTCGCACGCCGTTTAACTTCTCCCAGAGCGTAGCATATGGAACGTGATACGTTTTTGCTGCTGATCGCAGAGACAGGTTTCCGGATTCCACGGCCCGAAGTGCTGCTGACAT